TGTGGATATCCAGGGCTCATGTATGAGATTACTAACAAGCATTACTGAATAATCAGATGAGGGACAGTTTGCTATGTCTACTAGGTGGCTAAAGATAAGGATACTTTTACATAGAAAAAGTCTCAGCAAACATCTCTCTCAAAATAGTGCTACAATGCTGGCTCAAAAGAATTTTTAATCCTTGAGGTCACTAATCTGTGGTGTGTTCAAGACCACAATTTTCTCCCTCTGATAAGTCTTACCTGGTCTACCGTAGAGCCAATAGAACGAGTTTTCTTTACAGGTCCAGGTGGACCGTCAGTAAACTGTCGGCTATTAGAGCGCTAAAGAAAGGCAAAAACCAATACATTTAATGTCAAGTAGAAGATCTGAAGCACAGAAGATAAAATTATTCCAACAGACAATTTGGATGCAAATCCTAGAGACCTGGACTACAGTAAATAACAATGTGCTCTCTGTTTCATTACCTTTTTCTATATGAAGCCTAAGTTTTACCAACTCAAAAATGTCCTTGATGCTCTAAAAGAAATGAACAAGCTTGGAGAAATTTAGGTGACAGCATTAAAAGAAGTAGAACTGTAATCCTAGCTAAGGACATGAAGTCTGTGAAAATACATTATGTGCACTAAACAAACACACACAGATAGATCTCTGTTATATTCCTTATATACACACTTTATCTGAAACTTGCATTTAGAGTATAAAAGTCTGGTATAAAAAGTCTTATGACAACATGAATAGAGTTGCAACCTAGACCAATACAATAGGACAGGATCCTAAGATCCTATCTCAAGTTAGTACCTCAAGAAATATCAATACCTACCCACTTAATATGAATTCATCTATAATAAGGCTAAGAATGAATGGCTAGAGCAACATTTTTCAGAGAAAACAATTTTACTGTTGCTTTGTTAAAACAAAATAAGTAATCAAAACCACCATACCCTCTTCTGTCTCTTCTTCAGTTTGAAAGTCTTCACCAAAGAAGAATCCCAATCCTGTTGACAATTACATTGTATTAATTTATTTCTTTGGTTATATCTGTGCAAGTTTACAACTACTTTTAAAGCCTTCTTGAGTCAGCTCCCTAACTTACAATTTGGGGGAAGGAGGAAGGGAGGGAGGATCTCAACTGCTATCCAGCTTTATGAAGTTAACATGCTTCCTTTCAAAAATTGAAGCTATTATAATAGAATCATGAATCAATACTACAGAGGCAAGGAAAGGTTAAAGCATCAACTTCTGTCGTGATTACATCAGGTACCTGGTCCTTTATTTCTGATTATTTGTATAATTAGCTTTAGAACTCAGAGTATTAGGCACTATACTGATGTGTTAGATGTGAGTCTTACACTCAAGGGATTGCTACTATCTAACAAGACGGTCAGCACAATGTTGCCACTTAAACATTTCTAGTTATGTTCTCTCAACCATTCCTCTTCCTTGGACCCTAAAAAAGATGTTAGCTGCTGAAGACCTGTTATTGTGTCTGGTTTTGCTTCACTTATTTTAACCATTTGCAATAATTTTTAACAGCTTACCTATGGTTCCTTACTTTTAATAATCCTTAAAACCAGAATATCCAGAAACAGAAGTTATACAAAGGGACTTCAAAAAGTTCCTGGGTCCCATGTAAATGATCACATAATTCACAATAAAACATTTTTTAAAAAAGTTCTGGGAAAAATCCATTACTTTTCATGTCATTTTTCCATGAACTTTTTGAAGCTCCCTCATATACCGTAAATAATAGTTTAGCTAAATAAGTTTAACCTCCCCAATTAAAAGTTAAGTAACTTGGCTACTCATTGTCAGATTCAGCTTCAGTTACAACAGATTTTACATCATAGGTCTGGTTCCAAAATCAGCTATTATATTCTTGTTTAATTATATACCCCAAATCTGCTCCATCTCACTTATTTTTAAAAGGTGATGCCTAATTTTTTTAATATGAACAGTCATTATTTCCCTAATCAAACACTGAATTTGAAGTAGTTGCCACTTGTTTTGCTATCATTAGAAGACCAACCACTGAAAACCTCCACTAACCTACTGTTTTATTTGTGAGCATTCAGTTAGAGACAGAAAAGACACACTACCCAATGAAACACCAGTATCTTAGCTACCTAGAGCTGCTTTAACAGAAATACCACAAGTAGATGCCTTTAACATACAAATTTATTCTCTATCAGTTTAGGAGACTGCAGATGGTGATGGTGGTGGTGTGCCGTTGCATCTGTACTGAATGACTCATAATGACCCTGTATAGGTTTTCCGAGGCAGTAAATTATATTTATGGGAGCAGAAAGCCTCATTCTTTCTCCCACAGAGTGGCTGGTAGATTCAACTGCTGACCATTTGGTTAGCAGCCAGCCCAACATGAAACCACTATGCTACCAGGGCTCCTTGTTTAGGAGGTTAGAAGTCCAAATTCACGGTGCTGGCTCTAGTGGAAGGCTTTCTCTGTCAGCTCCGTAGCCCACTGTTGCAGCCACTCATTGTGACAATTCATATCACTGAGGATTTTCCTATTTTCCCTAACTCTCTACTTTCCCTCTCAGTATGTCCAAAGCATGTAAGACAAAGTCCTGCCATTCTCACTTCTATGGAGCATTACAGCTGTACTTCTTATAAGACAGATTTGTATGCCTTCTGGCAGTCCATGATACATTCAATATTCTTGCCAACACCATAATTCAAAGGCATCAATTCTTCAGTATTCCTTATTCCCTATCCAGCTTTTTCACAAGCATAGAAGGCAATTAAAAAGACTATGGACTGGGTCAGGCACAAAGTGGCATCTGTGCTTCTTAACACTTGAAAGAGGATTTTATGGTTTTGTTTTAAAGAGGTCTTTTGCAGCAGGTTTGCCCAACATATTATTTGATTTCTTAAATGTTGCTTCCAATTACAAAACCACTTCCACATTTTAGGTCCCTGTTAGAGCAGCACCCCAGTTTTTCAGTACCGATTTCTGTCTTAATTGTCTAGTTGTGCAGCACTGTAGCATATGCACTGGACTGCTAACCACAAGGTTGGTGGTTCAAACCCACCAACTGCTCCCTGACCCTATACAGGGTGGCTATGAGTCAGAATGAACTCAACACACTTAATAATAACAAAGCTGTAACAGAAATAATTAGTGTAATGGTTTTTACTAATATAAAATTTTTCTCTCACAGCTTACAAGGCTATTGTTGCTAGGTGCCACTGAGTTGATTTCAACTCATAGCAACTCTATGTACAACAGAAAGAAACACGGCCCGAATCTGCACCATCCTCATTCATATTCAGGCTGCCACCTCTAGAGCAGGGCTTTCCCTCTGTCCTAGTCTCTTTCAGTTCCTGCTCCTGGGCAATCATGTGGCTTGGTATCAGTCTTCCCCTGGGTCTAGGAATTTCTCAGCACAGGGGATCTAGGGCCAAAGGACCTGCTCCACTTTTTTTTCTTGGTAGTACTGAGGTCCCTCCCTATCTGCTCACTTCTCTCTCCTTTTATCTCTTACAAGATAAAAGGCAACACAGGCCACACCCAGGGAAACTCCCCCCTTTAAATCAGATCAGGGCTCTGTCCTGAGCTAAGGATGTTGCATACCACTCTAATCCCCTTACAACTAATTGACTGATCACATCAGAATATATTATGGGGATGATTACCTCATTATTTAACTGCCAAACTACATCATTATGTAACTGCAAAATCACTCATAATCACAGGCCAGCCAAGTTGACATATACTTTAGGGAAACACAATTCAATCTATGGACAACCAGTCTCCTGAATATCAAAGATTAAAATATCAGGAGATGTCTATTTGAAAATGTCATCATAAATTAAGAGGAATGTTTGTTGTTGTTAAGTGCCATCGAGTCAGTTCCAACTCATAGATAGCAACCCTGTATAGGGTTTCAGAGGAGCAGCTGGTGAGTTTCAACTGTTGACCTTGCAGTTCAAACTGACCTTGCGGTCCAGTGCCTATTCTACAATGCCATACTTTAGAAACAAAGAATTTAGACACATTAGCCACTGTTGATTAAAGCATCACATAGTGACTAAAGCTATCATCACATCTTCTGGGTAAAGTCACAGGACATTTGTTTCCTTCTCACTGGGAAGCACAGCTAAGTTCTCCTCAAGAGGTAATAAGGCATAAGTTTATTCATCCAAAGAGCAGCAAATAAACGCTGCCTAGATACAGTCTTGCTAATTCTGATTGCTAGCTGAGGCTTTAGTAAGTCAAGATATAATCAATTAGTACATGCTGCTCACAGCTCCTTTAAATAAAACTAAAACTCTTAACAAATACTAGATTCTACATTCATACTTCCAGAAACAAAGTAAATAGATATAACCATCTCTTTTAGCTTGTGCAAAATTATATTTAAAATGGCAGCTCATCAACACATCAACAATAAAACAGTATTAAAGGATGTCCAGGAGAAAGGACAGAGGAGATGTTACTGAAAGAGCAGGGGTAAGAAGAATAGATATTCTCAGAGTTGAAATGTTCATTACCAGCGATTCATCAGTCTTGTCAAAGCTGATATCTGATAAAATGGAACCAGATTCATCAATGGTCGACAGTCTAGATGAATAAAACAATATAGTGTTAAAAACTGTGGAAAATAAGACCCACCGCACTGCGAACAATCCCACTGGTCAGGTAAACTCAGTGATTTCGGAACAGTAGCTTCTCTACAAACACTGCAAGTGTAGCTCCTTAGCTAGGAGAAGCTGCGTTTTATGGTTTCCCTGGAAGTGTGTGCCTGTGCACAAGCACACGCGAAGCACAGCAGCTGAAAACTGCAGTTAGGTGTAAGTGATAGCCTCTGCTGAGTGTCTACTACAGTCAACTAAAAATTCACAAAGCAGAAAAATGAGGTTTAATTTGATCCCACTTGTGGTTGCTTTCTGCAAGAGAAAAGTATTACCAAGCATTCATTGACTTTTTAAGAAATTACGAAAGCAAGCACATCTGCTTAGTTATAAAGATTTCCCCATAAAACAACCAAGCAACAAAATAAATCACTCCAAGAGTGCTGACCTTTCTCTGCTTATTGTATTGGGGGTGTTAAATTCAATGCCTGGTTGAGACTATTTTAAACTGTGATGCAGTGGAACCAAAATTATTGTCTGGTCTTGGCTCACAGAAGCCTTTCTAAACTAGAAGAGCTACAAGAGCTCTCTGGAGAGTAAACACTGGAAGTATTGCTGAACTGCCAGTTTCACCTTTGGGTTTCTTAGCAATTGCAGGATTAGTTATTGATGTGCAAGTTAGCACAAACATCAAAATTCTACCTAAGGAAAAATTTTAGAACAAAATAAAAACTGAAAGGAGATCCCTGTGCTTACATTTCCTACCCCTCCCCCAAAGTCTTTCTGTTTATTCAGCACACATTCCAGAAGCAGTATACTTGAGAGTTCAGATAACCAGAACTTCTGACAGCTGTGTTGCTTGTGATCCGATAACAACAGATGCAGGTCCCCCACCTTTTGTTCCCAGCATTGCCACTGGATGGTTGGCCCCTGTTGAGAAAAGCCAAAGCTGATTTTTGCTCCTCACTTAGTTGAATGCTGCCAGATGTGTCACACATGAGCATCTCTCGAATCAGCTGAATCTGTCGTTCCTACAGACCACAGCAGAGTAAAACATCAGAACTAGCCAGGGGAGAAAGCTTCACCTCAAATTTATGGGACAGGCAGACCAGAAGACATTAAAATACAGCATTATGTAAATGAGCCTTCAAGAAGACTGCTACACCAATCGCATATTAATTCACATCAAACCCAGATTGTGCCTCTGATTTCTGACTAGTAAAATGAACTCCATTTAGAATAGTGGAGTTTCTGCTATAAGACTTCTGGATCGAATTACTAAGTCTATGAGGAGACTAATGCAAAATGAAGAGTCCCAAAATAATTTCACATAGCAGTAACATTTTAGTGTCATTTTATCAGGACAATTATTGGCTTCTTCTACGGATCAAAGCAGCCACCCACCTTTCTAAATGGTGGAGCAAAATGCATTAAAATGGATACAAAGCTGTAACATACCGGAACCAGACAATTTGAGCTTACTGAGGTATCTAACACTGTACCAAGATGGATTAGTCCTCCTAGCAAAGGTTTTCCTTTGCACCATGACCCACCCTGGTATATCAAAATGATAGTGTTCTGTGCCAGTCACATCGCTCCACTGGTTAAATACATCGAGCCCTTTCGTCTGAATCACAGAACAGTGATGAAAGATTTAGAGTTGTATTGCCTGTATCAATAACAAACTACTAGCTATATAAGGATGAGGATACTCTGAGTAGCATTTATAATTAACAATGAGGAATGGCCACTATCTGAGATAGATCAAGTGTACTAGTACTTCCCTGCCTCTCCCTCTAATTCTAATTCTAATTCTTTTCATTCTTACTTGAAGTTTTGCCTATTATTATTTTCAAGTCTAAAGGAGGAAAAAATTATTTCAACCTATGAAGAACAGGATTTCTAGGCTGCAATTTCTGCTCCAGCAGCTTGTCAATGGACAAGTCACTGTCAGTTCTTTAATGTAGAAGACACTGGGGTATATCTGGCTTCTTACTTCCCCACCATTATAGTTCTCGCAAGCCCTAGCACAGAAAACAATACACACCAGCTTTTCGCAGTCAGCCTCAGCTCGCTGTCTCCGTTTGATCTCTACATCCACCTGATTGCGTGCATGCTTCAGCTTAACATCCAGAGCACTACGCTCAGTCTCAGCTTTCATCAAAAGATCCTTGTATCTCCCCAGTTCATGGTCTGTTCTCTGCCACTTTTTACGAAAATCCTCAAAGTCCTTTGCCAGCTGGATGAATTCTAAGGAAAGAGGGAAACTTAAATAATTCAAGCAGAGTATAAATGCTCTAATAAATGAGTCCTACCAGCCGCTTCTTGGAAACCCTATAGAGGGTCGCTGTGAGTCGGAACCGATGCAACACTTAACAACAACGTTTAGCTTTACACCAAATACACAACCAAAGGACTAGCTGAACTAAAGGCAAATTCAGCTGAAAATAACCAAGAACAGATCCTGGGACCCTGGATATATGTTTATTACTCCAGATGAGAGCCTTGTGGGAGGAATTCCTGTTTCAATAGGCCACTTACTTTTGGCTTAGCCAGTGGCATCTGCTATGAAATAAGTAACTCATTAGTCACCTGGCTCCAGATGTAACACTAACACTGAAAGCTTCTGAACAGAAGGCAATCAAAGGGGGGATACCTTTGGGGCAGCTGTCACGCACCAGGACAGTTACAGCTATAAAACAAAAACAGCCTCCTTTATAGTCACGCATTGCTGCTCCAGAGAGATGTTAAACATCAAATTCAAATGTAACTGCTGTAATATGCTCCAGTAGAAGTAGATTAATATTATAGATGTCTAGGCTTGCAATTCCATTCAGCTATATAATTATACAAATATTGATTTGAAAGTAAAGAGTCAATTTGCTTTTGCTGTTTAACACTGCCCTGAAGGGTATGTAAACATTCCATTTGGAAAGACACAGGAAGAGAAGATACTAGGCTTTTGGTGACTCACTATGGCAAAAATGTGAACTCTTCAAATGTCTGCAAGAGAAAACAATTGCTTCTAAGGCAGCACCTCTCAGCAAGATAACCCTGCTAGGATTCATTCTTATTACCTGCTATTGGCAAAGACTGCTCTTCTATAATGTATTTGCAAAAGCACCTTACAATTTTCTAGATAACCTCAATCTATCTCTAAGCATCATTCCCACCAGCATCATGGAAGGAGTTCCAAGGCATACATCTGCTGATGATCAAACTAACCCAGTTTACAGTTGCAACTAGGTCAAATTCACACCAATTCTTAGGTATTAAAGACCCTGCTTTCCATATGCGAATTTAGCCTAAGAATGAGAAATAATACAGAATCCTTGCTAAGTAATTTTATCAATTTGACTAAAAATTTCAAACTTGCAAATTAGCGTACTAATTCATTATTTTTTAAAATTCATTCTTGATAGTGTAAGAAATCAAGAATTACATAAAACAGAGATTTCAATCTTTAGCAAACAGATATCAGTAAAACAGGGTATTATGACCTAGTTATTTTAAACAATGTAATTATCAAAGATGCCCCCATCCCTATATACAAGACATTATTACAAGTCAAATAGCTTTAAATGATATGCTGGTTCAGTTAACAGTTTGGAACACATTATCAGGTTTTTGAAGAAAAAGAAAACAAGCACTATATCCTTTCACAAATTTAAATGCTTCAATATTATAGATTCACAAGGGGGGGAAATTAAAACCAAGACCTGGTTACTTGGATATGTTCACTGACAACACATCAAGCAATGTATTTCAGATGTATGGCATCAACAGTTTTAAAAATAAAGAAACATATTTTTCAACAACACAGTCTTAAAAACTTTATAGTTCCATACTGTCAATTAAATGATATATCTAAATATAGTGCTATATTGGTTGTTGTTGTAAAGTGCCATCGAGTCAGTTCTGACTCAAAATGACCCAGTGTACGGTTTCCAAGGGGCAACTGGTGAGTTTGAATTGCTGACCTGTGGTTCAAACCAACCTTGCAGTCCTGCAGTTATCCCACAGCACCACACCAGGACTCTTAGTGTTACATACACTGAAATATTCACTGAATTGACAAACAATACAGCCTCGGAAACCCTGTTCAGGGTCGCTATGGGTCGAAACCGACTCGACGGCACTTAACAACAACAACAACACAGAATGAAAAAGGTTTTCATTTGACCTAATTTTATTTGTTTTTTCAGAAAGAGATACTTCTTAATTTATCATTCCAATTTGTTGTTAACTGGTATATATTATAGGTCGAAAAGAATTGGACAGACTTGGAATTTAAATTAATTAGTTTATTTCAAGGAAAGAATTTCTATTTTAATAAACAAATGATTAAATTACTGGTTCAGTTTATGTCAGAACAAAACCAGATATCTGCATATCTGATTACGATATTATTTTTGTATACAATTCTGTTAGAAACCAAATTTATAGGATTGGGTTAAAAGGACACTTTAGACGACAAAGCAGGAAAAAATTTTATTTTAGAAATCAATAAACATGACTTTTTTTTTTTGTCAGTGTGTGAATAATGATTTAGCTTGGTATATTCCTTGTCATAATGTACACATTCAAAAGATTTATTAAATCCAAACAAAACACATGCATATACATATATGTTGTTGTTGTTGTTAAGTGCCATCGAGTCGGATCCGACCCATAGCGACCCTGTACAGGGTTTCCGAGGCTGTAAATCTTTACGGGAGCAGAACGCCTCATCTTTCTCCCGCGGAGCAGCTGGTAGTCTCGAACTGCTGGCCTTAAGGTTCACAGCCCAATTCGTAACCACTACGCTACCAGAGCTCCTTACTAAACAATAATTCAAAGTAAAGCATATCTTCCAAAAAGGAGGAAGGAGAAAGAGAATTTCCTTTAAATAATAGTACTTTTGATTCATTAAAAAACAAAACAAAAACAATCAGTTCCAGCAAGACAGCAGACTAGGCAGACATAATACAAGGAGCCCTAGTGTGGTGCTGCAGGATAGTGCACTGGACCACAAGGTCAGCAGCTCAGACCTCACCAGTCACTCCTCGGAAACCCTATACTGGGTCACCATGAGTCAGAACCAACTCAATGGCACATAACAACAACATGCAACACACAGATACAAGAGACCAAATGAAACAGACACAGGTGAAATTTTTGAAAATCTGAACTTCAGAAGAAAGGTTAAAGAAGTGGACTGAGTAGACTGCTGGGAGGAGAAGCTGAGCAGGGACACTGAATGGTGAAAGTCTGGCTAGACAGAGCAACCACCTTGTGAGCAGCTTTGGCAACAGAAGGTAGCCTGGCAGAGCAGTGTCACACACACAATGGGAAAGGTGTGATTCCTTCTTTTTCCCCATGCTCCTCTGGTGACCAGAGGTGTGGCCAGCTCCCACTCTCATCCACCACAATGCAGACCCTGCTCTCTGGGAGTTCAGAGCCACATAGTTGGGAGCCATGCCAGTAGTATAAGTTGAGGACCAGCTGCACTGCTTTAGTGTACCATTTTGGTGCCTGGATTCAGGCAAACTTGGCTCCAAACCTACAGAACCTGCAGAGTCACCAGAACAGCATTTAACCAAACACTCTGTCTGCAGCTGCCCTGTGGTCCTAACAGACACTGAAACCAGCTCCCTCCATCAAGGTCTCCAGGAACCACTTCCTAATTGAATGCCCTGAACATAGATAGTATGAGTCCCATAGGAACTCCCCCATCTAAGGCCAGGAACTGTGCTATCACATTCCTCCCACACCCACCTCCAGAGCTCCTTGCCTTGCAGCAGTCTTCTCCCAACCACACCACTGAGTTTTCTCCACTCCAGGACCAATAGCTGCACTGATGTTTTGTTTGGGGATTTGATTATTTCCTTTAGTTGTTTCAATATTTATTTATTCTTTCTCCTCCTTTTCCTTGCATTCCCTTGAATTTTACCCTTTCTGGTTTTGTTTTTCCTTCTTTTCTTCTGTTTCTCATTTCCCACTTCTTCCCCCTAGCCCTTTTATCTTTCTTTACTACTCTCTACTATTCTCTTTTTATTATCCTTTTACCTGGTTTTTCTGTTCTTGTTTTGTTATTTACTTCTTCTCTATTTTACTCTCCTATAGCTCCATTTTCCTGTCCCTCTTTTGTCTTTTTAGATATTCTTTGTTGTTGTTGTTGTTTTGTGCTGTGGAGTCGGTTCCAACTCATAGCGACCCTCTACAGGGTTTCCGAGGTCATAAATCTTCATGGGAGCAGAAAGCTTCATCCTTCTCCTGTGAAATAGCTGGTAGTTTGGAGCTGATGACCGTGAGATTAGCAGCCCGATTCATAACCACTACACTACCAGAGCTCCTTAGTTATTTAGTCATTCTTGAGCATTTAAATTCCTTCCTTTTATTTTCTTTTCTGTAGACCCATTTCCCTGTCCGACTTTTGTCTTTCTAACTATTATATTTTTTTCTGATTGTTGTTGTTGTTGTTAGGTGCCACTGAGCTGGTTCCAACTCATAGCGACCTTATACACAACAGAATGAAACACTGCCCGATCCTGGGCCAACCTATCATTGCCACATTTGAGCCCACTGATGCTGCCAATTCGCCAATCCATCTCGCTGGGGGTCTTCTTCTTCTTTTTCTCGGACCTTATCAAATATGACATCCTTCTCCAGCGACTGGTCCCTCCTGACAATATGTCTGAAGTATAAAAGACAAAGTTTGGCCATCCTGGCCTCCAAGGAGCACTCTGGCTGCACTTCTTCCAACACAGATCTGTTGGTTCTTTTGGCAGACCATGGCACTTTCAATAGTCTCCTCCAACACCATAACTCAAAAGCATCAATTCTACGGTCTTCCTTATTCACTGTCCAGCTTTCACATGCATATGAGGTTATTGAAAATACCATGGCTTGGGTCACGCACACCTTAGTCCTCAAGCTGACATCTTTGCTCTTCAACACATTAAAAAGGTCTTGTGCAGATTTGCTTAATGCAATACATCATTTGATTTCTTGACAGCTGCTTCCATGGGTGTTAACAGTTGATCCAAGAAGAATGAAGTCCTTGACAATGTCAATCTTTTCTCCATTGATAAGAATGTTGTTTATTGGTTCAGTGGTGAGGATTTTTGTTTTCTTTACATTGAGATGCAATCAAAGGCTGTGATTCTTGATCTTCATCAATAAGTATTTGAAGTCTTCTTCACTTTCAGCAAACAAGGTTGTATCATCTGCATATCGCAGGCCATCAATGAGTCTTCCTCCAATCCTGA